TATTTTGAGTGCCTTCCAACCTGAAGGGCTCATCTTCTGGCACTATATCTAACAATATGCTACTTAAAAGGTTTTCAGTGGCTAGCCATTCAGAAGTAGTCCGTCTCACCTTCTTCCTAGTCTGTCTTAGTCTGGAGGCTTCCCTGAAACTTGTCCACCATGGGAGATCCTGCTGGTATTTGAAACGTCACTGGTATAGCTTCCGGCATCACAGCAACACACAAATCTCTGAAGTACAACAAACTGACAGATGAGTGATACAAGGAGACACCATGTTGTTGTTAAGTGCTGTGGAGCTGGTTCAACTCATCGACCCTGTATAGGGTTTCCAAAGAGCAGATGGTAAGCTTGAATCGCCAATCTTGCAGTTCAAACCGACTTTGTGGTCCAGCACATTAACCCATAGTGCCACACCAGGACTCCGAAGACACCATAACGGGTCCCATATTTACTGATGATTACAACCTTCTTGGTGCCTTTAGCTATCTCGTCATAATCTAGTGCCAAGCCCAGCGAGGTAAAACAATCTCTTGCAGAAGAGTCTTTTACTGGTGTTCTGTAAGATGGACAGACCTGCTCTGATAGGGCTCAGAACTCTGAAATAAATACCTGGCAAAGCTAGACTTCCCAGCAAAGTTGAGTTTTTAAAAGAAGTTCAAATGTTCTTCTGTCATCTCAGAAGTATGTTGGTCTGTGGAAGCCAAGGTACCTGCTTTAGTAAACGCTACTCCATTTAATTCATTAAATTTTTAACATCCTATTATGGCTCAGCATAAAGCTGAGTTCCATGTACTCAATGCCTACCTGTCTCATATTCAATATTGTTATCAATTAATTCTACTTTAAATTCCTGGATAAATGTATATATCAAACTCAAAACACTGAACACTAAACAAATGGCTTATTCTTTTCAATGGTGCAGCATGAAAAACAAGATAAACATTTTTCAGTGACAACTATGCTTTCTAATCCAAAACTTGCTAATTTATAAAAATTATCAGGAGATTGAACTGTGATTTGAGATTAAAAAAATAATGCAGTTAGAAGAAAAGAAGAATAGTGGGGATACAATGGATATAAGATTGGCCATAGGTTTATTAAATTTTTCATAACAAAAAGTTAAATACATACTCTCTTTAGGATAGCCCTTTCTTTAAAATATAGAACCCTTTCTTCAAAAGTAAGGATCCTTGTTGGCCCTGTGGATTAGGTATTGGGCTGCCAACCACAAGGTGGGCAGTATAAACCTACCAGCCACTCTTCAGGAACAAGATGAGGGAGGCTGTCTGCTCCAGGAAAGATTTACAATCTTGGAAACCCTACAGGATCACAATGACTTGAATCAACTCAATGGCAGCGGTTTTGGTTTTGTTTTTCTTCAGAACTACTGTTTCTAATGCCTGAAATATATTCTTACTCTGATAAATTTAAACTATTAATTGGGAAAGGATTCTAATAGAAAGATGAGAAAGCAGTTGAGGCAGGTAGTTTTCAACTTAGGATGTCTTTTTAAGAAATTCTAAATAAGGTTATAGAAGCAAATGCCTGAAATGGTTCAACACAGCCCAGACAAGTTTCCTCAAAACAAACTCTACACCCTGTGAATAAATCTAACTTCTAATCTGTTTTACTGAAATGCTGGAAATAAAAGCTGTGTTGTCTGTTTGCTAAGGGTAGGTCTAAGTATTCACTGCCCTCTCAGTCAACGCACTCTACACATCATTTCAGCAAAGAGACTTATGCCAAGCAAACCGCTCTTCTCATGGTCTCTGCACAACACCTGGATAGTAAGAAAAGAAAAAGCAAGCCAGTGTGCGGAAAACTATCCTCACTAGCTCTCACCTTAACTAAGAAGAAGCAAAACCCTCTTCCCCAGGAATATTAACAGTTCTACAGTTGCACCTAAATTCATTTCTGCCACTGCCGCTCAGTATTATGAAAAGTCAAGGGCAGCAAAATATTATGTCTATTGTAAGTAATAAAATACCATAACAAAGACCTGTTTTGCTTTCTTTTTTCAGAATGCTATAAATGATATTAAGTCTATATTCTCAATGACTATATGTGAACATAAGGAGCTCTGGTAGCATAGCGGTCGAGCAGGGCTGCTAACCTGAAGGTCAACTAGTTCGAAACTACCAGCAGTTCCACAGGAGAAAAATGAGGCTTCCTGTTCCCGTAAAGATTTACAGCCTTGGAAACCATATACAGGGTCGCTATGAGTCTGAACCGACTCCATGGCACACCACCACCACCATATGTGAACTTAAATGAATGTTTCCACATATCTTGCTTTTAAAGACTTTAAAAAAAAATTATTTATGTACCATATCATTTCAGGACAGTAACTTATTCAACCTCATTAGCCTCGTTAATTTACACAAGAAGTTAAAACACATAGTTAGTTGTCAAGTGAAAGGTTAGAGATCTGGTCTTAGGCAGAAAGATGTGGCAGTCTGTTTCCATAACTGTTGTTGTGAAGTGCTGTCAAGTCGGTTTCAACTCACAGCTACCTATATAGGGTTTCCAAGGAGCAGCGGGCAAGTTTGAACTGCCAACCTTGCAGTTCAAACTAAACCTTGTGGTCCAATGCTTATCCTACAGCGCCACACCAGAACCTCCCTATAGGGCTCCCAAGACTGTCATCTTTACAGGAACAAGGGCAGACTGCCACATCTTTCTCCCACAGAATGGCTGGTGGGTTTATACAGCAAGTCTGGCCTTTTAGTTAGCAGCCAAGTGCTTAACACCAGGGGCTCGTTACAACTTGTGAATCTCCAATAGGAGTTTTAAGAGATCAACATTAAACTAGTCAGAAGCAACACCATTTAGATTCCATAACCCCAAGTAGGCAACTTCATGATACTGCATCAGTTCAGATTAGTCTATTCAAATATCATTTTCTGGGATTTATTTTATAACTTCTCTAATCTTTTCTTCTCATTTGCTAACTTAGTTCCAATTTTCACAACATATGTAAACTACATCCAGTAGACACAGATAAGATAAAGGACAATTCTGAACTAAATGCTCCAGGCTCAAAATGTACAAACTGCTATAATGTAGGGAGATTATTAATAGCTAGTATTTTACAATGAGACTGATTACACTATCCCCCTTGTCTATACAACATGGAAATGAAGTCTCTAAGCACCTTCAGTCAATAATGTTGTTGTTAAGTGCCATGGAGTTGATTCCGACTCTTAGTAACCCTGTATAGTTTCCTAGGAGCAGCTGGTAGGTGTAAACTGCTGACCCTACAGCGCCACACCAGAAGTGCTTCAGTCAGTAACAGTGGGGATGGTTACTGGCGTAGAGTCCATTCTACACACAGCGCGACCCTGCATAGAGTTTCTGAAGCTAAAATCTTTAAGGGAGCACAAAGTCTCATCTTTCTCTAACAGACAGCTGGTAATTTCGAACTGCTGACCCTGAGATTAGCAGCCCGACTTGTAACCACTATGGTGCCAGAGCGCCTTAGTCAATAATAGTACTTGTTTACTAACGCTAATGTGTGCAAATCTCACACCATCCCAGAACCTCAGACTGTTCAGGGCCACACACAATATCAGATTTGGGAGAAGAGAATGCTGTTAAATTCACAGCGATTATTTAGCTTTAAATTTCCAATCCGAACAGAAAGATTTATGTAGTTATCAGTATATGCCTAAAGATAGAAATTAGGAGCATAAAACATTCACTAAATTAATAAAAAACCTGAAAAACCATTTCATACAAAACTTTTATCTGCATGCTCTAACAAGATTCGGAGAAGCTTGCTAAGGGTTTGCGGGTCTTAACGTTCTGGACTTGAGACTTTTGTTGCTGTTAAGTAACATAGAGTCAATTCTGACTCATTGAGAACCTATATAAGGTTTCCAAGGAGCAGCCAGTGGGCTTGACCTGCCGAACTTGCAGTTAGCATTATCCTACAGCGCCATACTTCAGTTGTGGTTGTTAAAGTGCTGTCGTGTCAGTTCCGACCCACAGCGACCCTGTATATGGTTTCCAAGGAGCAGCTACTTTAAAAAAAAGAGGAAAAAAAAAGCCTCCTGTAATTTCCAAGGCAAATACGCCCAGGGCTGTTTTCAAAAGCACTGGCCCCTCTTCTACCCCAAGCGCCAAATATTCAATATTTCATCTTTCATTAAATATTTCATTAAATATTTCAAACTTTCATTAAGAGTCAAAGTTGTTGTTAAGTGTCGTCGAGTCGGTCCCGACCCACAGCTACCCTCTATAGGGATTTCCGAGGACCAGCTGGTAAGCTTGAACTGCTGACCTTACAGTTCAAACGGCTTTGCAGTCTGGCGCATTAACCCACAGCGCCACACAAGGACTCCTAAGAGTCAGTACGTATGAGGAATAAAACAACTCATCCTGTCACCTCTCCATTATTTAGGTCGCTGTGTGGACTAATCAGGTTTCTGGCTACCAGTTGCTAGGTATCTTAGCACTCAATTCATTCTTTTTACCACAGGGTGGGAGAAGGAAAAGCTAAACTTATTAGACTTCACTGTTTCCATTCGTCTTTGAAATTAATGTACAATATTTCACTCATGTAACAGTTTCAATAAACTCCCTTTTATTGAAAAGCAGCCTTTCCATATGGGATAAACCCTGGGGGTCAATCCTCAACTTTGCTTCATCCCCACAAGCGCCTACAGACAGCGAAGCTTGCACGTGGGCAGGCCGGGAACTGCTGTCATCTCCCGTAGCCGGTGGGCGAGTGGGATCCAGACCCGAGCACGGGCACTCAAAATAGGGCCGCCGCTCCGCAAAAGAGGCTGCGAGGCCACGTTGCCGTCTCCGGTCCATATGGCCGACGAACAGAAGGAAGAGAAGGCACCTTCGAGCCCTACGCTCGCTCCCGGACTCATGACCCACAGGCCCGGGCGGCGCCCCTGGGCCGAGTCCGCCCGCCCGCCCGTCCGCCCGTTGGCAGGCAACCGCGCTCGCGACAGTGCCAACCCACCTCCGGCGCCCCGGCCCGCACCCACCTTGACGTCTTCGTCCTCGTCCTCGCCTTCCCAGCGGTCCCCGCCGGCAGTGCCGCCGCCCCCCACCTTCCGCACCGGGTCCTCCACGGAGAACGTGTCCGCGTCTACGGAAGAGAGCGAGCCGCGTTAGTGCTTGTCTCGGCGTGGGGTCAGCGCCGGCGCTGATGTGGCCCAGAACCTGCCCCCGGAACTTTTCCTCACCCCAGGAATCTGAGTCCCCCGCAGCTGCCGCCGCCATCTCGGGCCGGGTGTGAGCGTGTGCGAAGGGGATGTAAGCGAGGAGTTAGCGGGGCGGAGGTGAGTCACTGGATTTGCTCTCGATGGCCGACGCGGGGCAGGCTGGGACCGTGGCTGACTGTGATCTGAAGCCGAGGCACCGCCCCCTCTGGCGGCCTCCGGGGCGACGCAAGCGCGCGCGGGCGGGAGGGGGCGTGGAACACGGCGTGAGGAGCGCGGAACGCGGCTGGAGGGGGCGGGAATGGAAGCTTTGGGGTGTGTCTCTGTCGGGGCGGAGAAGATAGGGAGCAGCCTGGAGACCAGCCCCTAGTGTAGATCCTCGGGAAACGTAAGTGCAGGGAAATTAGCAGGGCGGTAGCCGCGTAGGCTGTGATCCCGCAGGTCCTCGCCGCCCCTCCCCTGCCAGTCCCGGCCCCGCCTCGACGGTTAGTGTTCGGCGTGAACACCCTGCCTTCCGTCTGGTCAGGTTGATTTGCTGGTGGGCACCAAGCAGATCTCTGCTTCACCACGCCGCGCTTGATAGAGGGCCTCCCCGACCCGCGCTGGAGGCCAGAAGCCGGCGTGCATGGGGTGCCGAGGAAGCAGCCTTCCTAATCCCGGAGCTCGGAGCCAGCAAGGCGTGAAAGAGAGCCCCCACCCTCGAGGAGGCTCTCTTCCTGTGAGCCCCTGGCACCACTACATAGATTCTTTTGCAAAACAATTTTGGAACTTCTCATTCTGTGCTAGGAGCCCAGGTAATGCAGTGGTTAAAGTGCTCGGCAGTTCGAACCCATCAGCCTCTCAGTGGAAGAACGTTGTGGGTCTATGTCCGTAAACATTTACAGCCTAGGAAACCCTATGGGGCAGTTCTACCCTGCCATATAGGGTCATGGTGAGTCAGAACCCACTTGAGGATAGTGAGTTTCATTCTGCTGCATGTAAACTCTAGTTATGTCCTCAAGGAGCACACAAGTAGATAGGATAGACATATTTTCAACACAGCATAATAGACGATAAACGCTGCTAAGCTGGAGTTTGAAAGACCCAAGTGAAATTTGCTCAACTTGAGTAGCACATTCGGAGACAAGGTTGAAAAGGTAAGCTAATCGTGGTGGTGGTGGTGTGCCGTGACTTACAGTGACCCTGCATAAGGTTTCCAAGCCTGTAAATCATTACGGGAGCAGAGAGCCTCATTTTTCTCCCATCAATCGGCTGGTAGTTTCGATTTGCTGACCTTGAGGTTAGTAGCCTGACTCATAACCACTAAGCTACCAGAGCTAAATTCTCTTCTGTTCCTAGGGGCACTGAACTCCATCCACTACAGTGTTGTTAAGAGGCAAGCAGTTTCAGACATTTTGTTTTTGTTTGTTTGTTTTTTTTGCTTTCAAATAAGTAAATACACGTCCTTGGTTAACAACATTCAAATTAGAAAATTGTACACAATGAACAGGCAGTCTATTCTCAAAACCTGTGACAACCTTGTTCTGGGTTTCTCCTGTAGAGAAAGTCTACAAATAATACATTTTATAAAGATGGTTTCTTGAGAAATAGTCTATAACACTGATACTGATTAGCGGCAGGGGCAACACCTGTGAAATTTTCTCTCAAAAACTTAACTGCCATCAAGTCAATTCTGACTCATAACAACCCTACACAGCGTTTCAATTATTTATTTTTTTATTGTGCATTTTATTTTTTAACTTTTTATTGTGAATTAAGTGATGGTTGACATGGGAGAACATTAGCTTGACATTCATCCTATCATATATTGTTTCATTGCAATGATTACAATCCCCTCCATTCATGATCATACAACCAAATGGTACACCGGCAAGACCCCCTCCCCCAGCACACAGACCTTCTCCTTCCCTACCACCAGAGTGCCCAGCCACTCTCTCTCTCCATGTCATTGTTTCTCTGCCTCCATCTCTGACGACTCTGCTTCTCTGGATAGTGTCCCGCACTTGGCTCTTCTCCCGTGATGGTCCCAGGGCCCTCTGATCCTGGACTGCCAAATCAACCACTCCCCTCCTTTTGTTACAAAACGTTCAAAGACTAAATCTTTATGGGAGCAGACAGCCTCATCTTTCTCCTGTGGAGCAGCTACTGGTTTTGAACCTCCATATTGCAGTTAGTAGCCCATTACTTAACGCCACCAGAGCAAGCTTGCTGGAAATGCAGAATTTCAGGCCCCACCCACACCTTTTGAATCTGTCTGCTTTTCATTAAGATCTACAGATGGTTTTTCTGCACATTTAAGTGTGTGAAGTATTGTTCTGAAGATGTTCATATACATCTACAGAAGGCAGGAAAAACCTGGACTATAAGGTTTGTGAATGTACAGTCCAGGTTTCATTCCTATCTCCAGCATTTGCACAATGCCTAATATAATAAATATGAATTAAATGAGAAGAACACAAGCCTGAATGATGGCAATGTCAGAGAGGAGGAAACCAATCTGAGAAATCCTTGGGGTTTAGATTCAACAGGACTTAGTGACTAACTGGGTAAGAAGAGGAAGGAAAAGTAAATGGTGACATCATCTAGTTACTCAAGGAATAAAAAACCTGGGCACTGTTCTTGATTTCTAATTCTCAGCCACCAAGTTCAGTTCATTACCAAGTCCTGTGGTGCTATTGTTGTTAAGTGTCATCCATATTGTTGTTAAGTTTGTTGTAGTTGGTGGTGTCAGGTGCCATAGGACCCCATGCACAGCAGAACAACACAATGTCTGATCCTGGGCCAACCTCACTACTGCTGCCACGCTTGACACCATCAATGATGCCACCTGGCCGATCCATCTCGTTGGGGGTCTTCCTCTTTTTCTCTGACCCTCCATCTTACCCAGCATGACATCCTTCTCCAGCGACTGTTCCCTCCTGACAATATGTCCAAAGTATGAGAGATGAAGCTTAGCCATCCTGGCCTCCAAGGAGCACTCTGGCTGCACTTCTTCCAAAACAGATCTATTGGTTCTTTTGGCAGTCCATGGCACTTTCAGTATTCTCCTCCAACAAGTTCCTGTTTAGGAACTGTTTAGTTCTTAATCCTGTTTAGAATTTCCAAGAAGCAGTTGGTAGGTTTGAACCACCGACTTTGCAGTTCACAGTCCGGTGCTGATCTTACAGCACCACACCAGTAGTCCAGGTTGTCCATTAGTTCCTAATTTTTCCTCTTTGTCACACTGGCTTCTGGTTTCTTTGGTGTGTAGACTTTTCAATAGCAGCTTTGCATTTTCTGAATATTAAAAAAAAAAATTATTGACTCTACTACTTTTGAATCCAGTCAAACCCCTCCCCGTATCTCTTTCCATCACCTTAATCCAATAACTTACTACAATAACCTCCCAATTGTCCTGCCTTCTTCAATTCTTTTACTTCTAAATCCATTTGCTACCCACCAGCTGGTTTCCTTACTTTAAAAGGTAAATCAGGTCATCACAAATACATACATTCTCAACTGAAATTTGTTTTGTGACTTCTTGTTACTTTTAGAGCAAATTCATTCAACTTTTTACCATAGTCTACAAGGTCTTACATACTATGACTCCTGCTTCCTGCTGACTTCATCTCATGCCACTCACTAACCTTCTTGCTGCTGACTCTCTTTGCTGTGCTTTGAACACACTAAGCCTTTCTCTATTTAATGTTCTTGTTCTTTCCGCCTAGAATGTTCTTTTCCTGTCTCTGCATGGTTGGTTTCTTCTCTTCCTTGAAGTCAAAGAGCTAATGTTATCTTTACAGAAAGTCTTTCCCTGATCACTCTGCTGCAGGGGTCCTTCCCCCAGTTACTCTATCTCTCATACACCAGTTGCTGTCCAGTCTAATCTGACTCATGAGAACCCTGTGTGTTACAGAGTAGAACTCCTCCATAGGGTTCTCTTGGCTGTAAACTTTGCAGAGTGGAGCAGCAGGTCTTTCTTACAGTAGTACAAAAAGAGTTTGTACTAGCCAGGGACCTTACACTCTGTCTCATCACCCTTTTTATGTCCTAGTATTTACCACAATTTGTAATCATCTCATTTATTTATTTTCTGTTTGGAGCACATATACCTGTGTGTGTTCTGTACCACTGGATTCCCAGTACCTAGCACATAGTAAATGCTCAAAAAAAATTTTTTTAATGACTCAATAGTACTTCTGACCATAAGGAATTGGGATAAATTTCGACCACACAGCTATTGATGTTCCTAGGCAATATCCCAGTGGAAATGTATAGTACACGTTTGGAAGAAGAGGGGACTAGCTTACAGATAAAAAATTAGGAGTCATCTGAGTATTTGTTGTTGTTGTTATGTGCCATTGAGTCGGTTCCGACCCATAGCGACCCTGTATAGGGTTTCCGAGGGTGTAAATCTTTACGGGAGTAGAAAGCCTCATCTTTCTCCCGCGGAGCAGCTGGTAGTTTCGAACCGCTGACCTTAAGGTTCGCAGCCCGATTCGTAACCACTACGCTACCAGAGCTCCTTATGGTGGTAGATAAAATCATGTAAAGTAGAGGGCATCTGAGGAGATGTATAGAATGAGAAGAATGTTTAAGGAGAGAGAAACCGGGACTGCGGATCATGGAGGGAACTGAGACCGGGAACATGGCCGGAATAGAGGCTCCGCAGCCCCAGAAGCTCTGCTACCAGCAGTGTGCTCACTTTAATCCCATGGCGGACTATTAGCTGCTTCACCCTGGGAAGCCAGAAGAGGTGGACTAGTCTGAGCTATAACCAGAGTTCTTTGCTCCACTAACCCAAAATCAGAGTCATGAAGACCCAAAGGATAAAAATGGGAAGAGACCTCAGGCCAAAGTGGAATTTACAGACATAGGCTGTGGTGGCCTGTTAGCTGATGAAGATGTTTCCCTCATCCCAGACCCATATTTCAAGTGGAAGAATCACAAGTGGTGAATCATCAGTTCCATGCTACTGGCAGAATATGTTTCCGTGCTGAGTTGAGGGGCTGGTATATACCAAAATAGAGATGCTGAATGTGCACCCATTTTGAAGAGCACACTCTGTTGGAGCATGTGCCT